TATGCATGAACTCAAAATGATCGAAATTAAGATGCACACTGCAGCCTAAATCAATAGTACTACACAGTAGACAGTACACACTAGTTACAAACTGCGCGCATGTTGAATTACTAAATAAGCAGTGCCAACGAGCAACTAGTAGCTAATGTAACCCTAGAAGGCTTGTACAGCAGGAACAACTCCCGGTCCCGGGTTCCGCGAGCGAAAGAAGGCCGGCGGCATTGGAAGCATGCTTGGGTCAGGCGACGCGACGAAGCTCGGGCCAGAGAACATGGGGCCAATGCGCGGCGCTGTCGGTTTCAGAACCATCGCCGTTGTGTCTTCCCCCTGGTCCTCTTTGTCGCCTGTCCGGCTCCGGCTCACGACGGCAGCTTGTGCGGGGCAAGGCTTCTTGTGCGTGTCCCAGCGATCAGCGGAGGTCGTGCGGCTGGGCGGCAGCTGCTTGTTGCTATCCCACCTCCCGCACGGTGAGGACCCGACGGAGCTCGTGCTGCTTCGCCGGCTTGACGACGATGACGTGCAGCTGCTGCCGGAGATGTGCTTGTTTATGTCCCAACGCTGGCAGGAGGAGGCTCGGCCGGGGCTTGAGCCGCTGGAGCACGACGAGGCTGGGCTCGTGGGCTTCTTGTCCTTCTTGTGCGCGTCCCACCTCTCGACGGAGTCGGCGCGGCCGGGCTTGGGCTTGGAGGCGAACGAAGCCGGCAGGATGATGAGGCACGGCCTCGTCGGCGGGGTCGGGAGAAGACCCGGGAGAAGGGACGCGGCGGCTTTGGCCATTGCTCGCTCAACGGAATACATTGCTGATCTCTCTCGATCCAAGAAACACCAAGCGCTTTGCCTTTCAGAGAGAGAAGGCGCCTTGGCCGGAGAAGGAACAGACGATCGATCTGATGGTATGGAGTTGGGTGGGTGCGTGGGTATATATAATAGACATCTCCCGCAGTGACGGACTCCATTTCGAATTAGGGGCGGGCCAAGACCGTCTTCGACTGCCAGTCGGCCAGGACGCCACGTACGAGACTCCATTTCGAATTACCAATCGGCAATCCGGCCGGCGGCGGCGTTGAATTGACACGTATCAGTCAGATTCGAATCGTAGTTTAATTTGAGATATTTGGTTCAACACTGTCACTTGTTCGTAATGCTACAAACGATCTCCTACATTTCGGAGTATCAGTCAGATTAGACAGAGTAAACTGCATAGAACCACCCCTTTCGCCTCTTAACTCTAAAAAAATCATCACTTTACAAAACGTGACACTTTACACCGCGCCGAGAAAATGATAGTGACAAAAAACACTGACGGCACATGCTAAGCGATTTGATGACAGTCACTAACCAACCAACTTTGGGTCCGGCCACATTTGAGGCGTGGACCTAGTACCCAACGCTAGTACTACCACTCAGTCCTAGCACCGAGACTGTTGCAAGTCGTTGATAATTTCTTGTATACTTGTGCCAATTAAAGTTTGAATTTTTAAATTTAAAATGTTGGTATGACATTTCAAGGAAGGACCGAGTCCGGAATGATGATATATGAGATAGAGTTGGGATAGCGCCTATTGAAGAGAAGCTTGTCCAACATCGTCTGAGATGGTTTGGGCATATTCAACGCAGGCCTCCAGAAGCGCTAGTGCATAGAGAATCTAAAGTGTGCTGATAATGTCAAGAGAGGTCCGGGTGGACCGAACTTGACATGAGAGGAGTCCGTAAAAAGGGATTTGAAGGACTGGGGTATCACTAGAGAACTAGTCATGGACGGGGGTGCGTGGAAGCTTGATATCGATGTGCCAGAATCATGAGTTGGTTGCGAGATCTTATGGGTTTCACCTCTAGCCTACCCCAACTTGTTTGAGGCTAAAGGCTATGTTCTTGTTGTTGTTGGTATGACCTTTCAAGGAAATGGTAAAACTTTTAGAGTTACGCACCCAAGTTCTCACATAATCTGACCCCAGATCAGTTAGCGCGCAAGGCACGGGCAGCGTCGGCTGGAGACTGGTCCCAGATCAGATCAACTCGACCTTTCGTGGCCTCCCGTCGGAAGAAAGCCTAACTTTCGGCTCCTTCATCTTCACTACGGACAGGACGGGCCAGATCGACGTCAACCCACCAGCCCCCCTTTCCCGCACCGTCTTCTTTGGCGCATTGGCATTTGTCATCGACCGCCACGATGGCTTCCACGTGTGCGTCCCGCCACTCCAGCAGATCGCATCAGCGGTCCCATCAGGGACCGCAACGCCTTCAACATCTACCTCTAGCGTTAGGGGTATCTTCTGGCTCCAGAAAGCTGGGCTGCATACCAACGGGCAATGCAGACACACCTGTGCGGCCGGATCAGCAGCAACACTGACTGGTTGGACTCGTCGTCCATCAGGACCTTGGGGAGCTGGCAGCTGTCGATGATTGGGTCTACGACAAGGGCGAATTTGCCGGGGTTTGAGATGTAATCTGGGCGATATGTTCTGCCGAAGGAGATTGTACAATATGACCGGTCTATGTACTGGAGGACGTCGGGGACACCTCCTTGATAGTTTGCTTCTATGTGCATTTGTACTCATGCTCACGGAAAAATCGGAGACTACGTTGGCGACTCTGAATTTAGGCATAACCTCCACAATCTCCAGAAATTGTAAAGGGCACTTTATACCGATTTTGTTGAGGATATGACGCATCCGTCCATTTCATATCCTCTTGAATTATCAAAAAGAGGGAGCCGCGACGCGCTGTACCACAACGTTCATAAAATTTTGGGTACCAAGCTCGATGGAGGGGGCGACTATGGTGATGGCGGCGATGTGCAGTAACTAGGGGGTTAGGCGCCGCATGCCTTTACTATAGCGGGAAGATGAAGCGGAAGGATGTGATAGGTATGTCGATTTCAGTTGTTTTGGCACTCAACAAAAGTGACCCGCCGTCACCGGTAGACAGTAAGGGCCGTTTTGATTTATCAAAAAGTGCGGCGCCTACTGTCTCCCCCGAGTAGTTACCTTTTTGATAAATCAAGAGGATATGAACACTATATAGGCCTCCCCCGAGTAGTTACCTTTTGTTGAGTTTTTTCTAGAAAGGCTCTCGACAAAAGCCGTCCTCAGTTGAGTCCCAGTCCGCAAAGGCGAGGTTTACCAACACCCCGTGAATGGGAACTCGGCAAGGACAGTGTTACTAGGCAAACAACATTTTCCAGTAGTGATACTAGAATCCAACTCGCAAAGAGTGATGCATGGTGGCACTGCTGCCCCATACCTCTTAATTTGTAGCAATTTTCATGCTAACACACAAAGAGTGATGCATGGTGGCACTGCTGCCCCATACCCCTTAATTTGTAGCAATTTTCATGATCATCTCTCTTACAGTTGTTGGATGAGCTCGCTAGATGGTTGCGTAATCGAATAAACTAATGGAACATGTTTCTGCATTATGAGCAAAGCACACAGTTGCGACTGAGATAATCCCTTAAAACAAATTAAGGAGCAAAATCATATATGTGAGGACATGGCAACAAAAGAATGACCATGAAACTTAATTAATATTAGACTGGCATATACATAGATAAAAGACAGAAATAAGATTGAGTAGACTTGAAAACAAAAGGTTAAAAAGTTATTACACAGAGGATGTATTTTGTAATACCAGAGAACAAAAGGCCCGTGGCTTCAAGCCTTCAAGTTTGAAATGGCAGTCGTGAGGGCACTTCTGGCAGATAATGAAAACACCAAGGACCTTTATATAAGATAAGAAGTGCAGTGCACGACTGCACGTGAGGGGCTAGAAAAGAAGACCTCCAGGGACCTGCGCGCGAAATCTCAAAAAATTTGGACCATTTCTCGATTTGTGCGTGTCATCCTTGCGCAGGGGCCATGCTAATCTTCTCTGTATCGTTCCAATTTTATCGGATGTCCCCGAAGGGACGATGCAGCTGCCGCGCTCAGGCTTATAAACAGGTTCGCTTCGCCCTCGCTGGCCGATGTGGGACTAAACAAACTAGCGTCTGCCTTTACTCCCCGTGCTGTCCAGCCGGGAGCCATCGGACGCGTGGTGGGCCGCAAGCAGTCGGCTGGATCTCCCTTGGCGTGGCCCAAATTAACGGAAGAGCGTAATGGGCCTTCGTGTTTTCTTACGGAAGAACGAGCCTGGTTTTCTTTTTTAGATTGAGCCTTGGTGTTATATTGAGCTGACCTGATAATGTGTGTTGTACCTCTAAAAATGAAACGAAGATATATCTATGAGCCCGTCCGTGAGTCCATGTGGTTTCTCCTAGATGAACATTTTTTTTTGCGTGACTATGAACTACTAGCATTTACATCTCGTACTGTGTCATGTGACATGGCACCTTGAAGCTTTCTTCTTTTAACCGCTGATCAATATTTTTCCCGGATCATTAAATTTGACTTCTTAGCTTTTTTCTAAAAAAAAGAAAATCGACTTCTCACTATGTGAATGCGCAGTTCGGCTTATTTCTCGTGTAAATAAATGTAAATATCTGTGCTGATGATGAGCATTGGAGGTTTTGTTTTTGTTGTTGGTGAATTTAGAATGTGGCTAGTCATCAGGTCTGCCCTTCCCCAGCACGGACGAAAACCTGGCGTAGGTGTCTCACTCTCTGGTTGTCACTGTTTCATGGATGCACAAAATTTATGGATCATGATTTTGGCTGCAGTTGTTTCTATTTGTGATGATAAACGCATACTGGTACGTCTGAGGTTTTCGTTCTGAAGAGGAACAAGAGGCCTGCAGCCACGGGCCAGTCGCTCTCTTTTACTCTTTCTTTATCTCCTTATAAGCAAATCATTCTAGAGTAAATTCGTGGCAAATTGTCTGATTTTCGCAGAGATTTGTATTTGTAAATAAAAAAGGAAATCAAACACGTATGCAGTGACGTACTTGAGGGTAAAGCGACAGTATTTATACGGTGTATGTCTGGAGTTCTTTTCAAGGTCTGTACACCTGTTATTATTACTGTAGCGAGTTTCAGTTAAGGTACATAGGTTAGGTACAAGACAATGGCGTCGACGGCCGTGGCAGACGCGAACGCCGGGGGATTCGGTGTCGGGCAGGTCCTCGACGGCTCCAACCCGGCCATCGTCCGGCTCCGGCAGCTCGTCGACGGGCCCCAGTCCTCAGGTGCTGCTACTGGCACGCTCACTCGGCATGCAATGCAATCCACTGTCGGTATATCCGTTATTAGACTGATGAAATAGCGGCGCGTGTTTGCAGAGGGGTGGAGGCGGTGCTGGGAGCAGGGCGTGACGCCGTGGGACCTGGGCCAGCCCACGCCGGTCGTCGTCAAGCTGGTGCAGTCCGGCACCCTCCCCGCCGGCGGCGCCACCGTCCTCGTCCCCGGCTGCGGCGGGGTACGTTACGTAGCACACGCTCTACTCGTTCAATTGTAAGAGAGATAATAACTGGCAACCTCATGCACGCACGCACGCGCCCTGCAGGGATACGACGCGGTGGCCCTGTCCGGCGGCCGCCGCTCCGTGGTGGGCCTCGACGTCTGCGACGCCGTCATCCAGAAGGCCAGTCAGCGGTCATCGTCGTCGCCCGACGTGGCCTTCATCACCGCCGACTTCTTCACCTGGGCGCCGCCGGATGATCGGCACTGTAATGATCATGCATGGATGCATTTCAGCCTCAAGACCAAGACTCGGGGCCACCGTACAACACGACAGTGCTCGAGTAAGCATCACATCCCTGCTAGTACATTTTTCCTACTAGTAATACAATCCATCACAATGTTGAGAGACAGAAATGCCAATTCTTCATCTCACTGTCTCTTGTCAATCATCTATGCATATGCAGCTACGAGGAGGTGCTCAAACCCCTGGGTTTCTTCATCGAATCCTTCCTATTATAATAGTATATCTACGAGAGGTTACAGTGGAGAGGCATGGCATGACATGCAAAATAGTATATCGATGCACACAACCCTTTCTATTATAATAATTATTTATAAAACCAATGTATGGTTATCATGTTAGTGGCACATTTTAAACAATATGTGTGTGTGTGTGTGTTTATTTCTATTGAGCAGATATCCTTCATCGATCGTGAATCGTGTGGCTGATTCATGGAAATTCTGAATTGGTCTCACACATTGCTAGTTTCTGGTCAGGGAAACAAATATCCGAGTAATGTTTTTGCAAGTTACTGTTCACACATCACACAGATGCTAACCTCACGAAACTGGGCTACTCGCACATGTAATCGGCGTCATTATTGGCGCTGTCTTCTGGAAGTAACCAAGTCAAAAAGCCGTCGAAAGTTTCTCTTTTGAGCCTCTGGGATGAATACTCGACAATCATGTGCCACAACTCGCCGACAGTCCATCCGTGGCGTAATACCCACTGGATCACCTGTCACAGCAGAATGATGCAAAAATTATAAGCTGAAGAGAACAAAAAAGGAAAGCTTGACAGCATGGGATTAGGACCGACTCGATTCGGTGGAGAAAAGAAAAAGGAGGGTCCCTGCCTCCATCTAGAACCATCCATCATATCTAGTTTTAGGCTTTAGTGTGCAAATAAGTTATTCTCTCCTTTCCGGTTTATTAGGCTCATCTTAGAAATCACATCACCTTCAATCATTGGTTGAGTCACACTGAAAACCAAAATTTAACAGAATTTAATGTAGGATTGCTATATTTGCCAATCCCAAGACAATTCAGTGAGTGGCCGTGGAACCATGAACACCGCTAGACAGGCAAAACTACTACAACTTCGAAAATCGGCTATATTTTAGTCGTTCTACTTCTGTGCATAACTGCATACGCAAAAAATGTGAAAAGGTTTTCATAGTATTGTGGTACCTCTTCTAATCTTCTAAGTGACGCATCCTCAAAAGTATAGTAATTAACAAAAGGTCGGTGTGCCTGCAAAATAAGAACCGCCAAATATATTTTGATCACTCCAACAATGTTCATAGTTGAATTTACCGGTATAGACATTTAACCTTCTTTAAAAAAAATGAGGTATAGATATTTAATTGGGAACAAACAGATGAACTCCTATTCCTGAAAATTCCATTGTGTAATAACATTTTTCCTGTACCTGTGATGCGCCAAGCCACTGAATCATGCTCTTAATTTCAGGGTTTCCACCAAAAGCCCCACAACCCCAGTTTCCGGTTGAAACTCCTACACAGTCAACTGAGTTGACACTTGGATGATTATCCTTGGAATTAGAATCCTGGAACCATGTGTTAAAAGTTAAAAAAATGATCAGAAGTTCAGAACATATAGACACCACCTTCTAATGGCGTGCATGTGTTTTAGGTATTTTAGGCCACTACTTATCATGTTAGACCTCATTTGAAATTATATACACATGCAGCAGAACTTCATTCCGACAGTTTATTACTTTATTGGTCGACGGACATAAAATAAATGATAGGGGCAAATACATGCTATCAAGTCATTTTCTGAACCTTAGCAGAGATGGAGATGATAATGTTTGCCACTTGTGTTTGAAATTAGGTAATTCATAGAAGGATTCAATTAACAGAAACTTCATGGCTTGTTAGGTAAACACCTGGAAAGGCTTCACATCGAACTGATGCTTTGATTGATCCAAAAAACCAACAAATGCTTTGTTCACTTCCCTGCAGAGATGTAGTACCGATGAAAATGAATTAGGAAAACAAACAAGTATACAACTATATTTCGTTTACGAAGGATAGCGACCACAACAAGCTACCAATAAATCATGAAATACTGTGATACATTGCTCTGAAGTGAAACATGAACAAGACATACCTTAAAAGACCACTAGTTTCATACTGTAACTTAGTTGGGCAGTCCAAGGCATCAATTGCTACAATCCTAGTTTTTCGTCGACCCATTGCATCAAGGGGCTTCATATCTAAATAATCACCGACAAAGCGGAATGAGGAGCCGTACCTGAAAGAAGCAAATGAAGTGTCCATTTACAATGTAAAAATCATGCTGGAAATGCCATAGCTAATTAGTATTGTCAGACTTTTTCTTTTCATTTATGAACTAAATCAAGCGAAGGGTGGAAAGATTTAAACTAACCCCATATACTGTGAGAACCTTTCAGCACCGACAATTTCTATAGCCTCATTATCTTCCATTGAAGCCATGAAGAGCATGCCTACAATCAGTTCTGGATTTATCATGAAACGGATCTCTTCCTGTACCATAGAATAGATATAGCATCTATGAGAAAACCATAAAAAACTTGCATCATTGTAAATTATCTTAACTAATCAACTTGCACAACATCAAGGTGTACTATCCAGCAGATTGATGACATAGCATGAAGGTACTTCAATTTGCATCAGACACCCATGAAGTCTTATAAAACTGGTCTTAAGATAGTGACACAACAATAATTTTCTATGTACTCCGTAGCATAGAAGATGATGGATAAGTGACATACAATTCATACAGAACGAATGTAGGAATATATTCTAAAACTAGTGCTAAACAAATAACGCCTCATAATTATTGCAATCCCAAATGGGCACATTTCTTATGAAACTGAAAAAGGAGACCTGCACACAACCCCTGGAAAGTGCACCTCCTCCCAGATATTTATTAGCAAAATCAACTTCGAGGGCTTCTTCTTCCTCATCTTCTATCAAACCCGAGGAAATTACCTACTAATGAAAAGAAAACAAACAATCAGCACTTCATAATAATTGTAAAGAACATGAGGCATTTTGATAACATTATGATAAAAGATAACCCTAGCTGTTGTACTCCAGTGTCACAGAGTTATCCATTCCTACTAGCCTTATTTCCATTATCGTGCAATAACAGGATACAGATAATTTATCACGCCGCATAGCATCATCTAAATGCTCATAAATTAATAACTCAATATTGCAGCATACAATTCTCCCAGGATGAAGACACATGATGGAGAACAAACGGATAATAACATAAAAAAAGACAAACACATTTACTTTTCCAGTGTGTCCAAAGAATGCCTGCCAGGTCATGCTAATTTAAAAACAAACGACTATTCTAAACAGACCTTCATAGAATGACAGAAGATTACAAAACTCAATTTAATAGCCATGGCAAATTTGCTCAGTACTCCTAAGATCTCATTACAGGAAACTACTCACATTTAATTGAATACACCTTCACCCTTATGGTTTAGCTGCAATATTTTCTTGACACTTGGAAAAAAATAACCACAGGCATGTACAATGAGCAAGTTGAACTTCATGTAACATACACCGGTTGCCTGTTTTGAGTTCCCAAATCCCAAAATGACCACACATGTCTGAGATTAATGTCGTTTCCGAGGATGCCTAGGGCAATGGTAATAGACTGAAATATGACTGTAAATGTGAAATATGTAGACAAGTAGCTATTCTATGTTGTTAGAAGACCAGATTGTTGTCTTGATATTGCTTGAGCAGCTAAATCTCTGCTACCTGATGGTATCACCTTCTAGGATGGTTGTTAATAGATACAAATTAATCGACTTCCTGCAAGCTATGTCACATCATGTACAGAGGCATATGCTCTGAAACAATGCTGGCTAGAAGTTCAGCTTTGATTTAACCAACGCAGGTGAACCCAAATAACTTGCACACTACATAATTTCAGAGGAGCCCTGCATAAGGGCTAAAATTGAGCATATGAAGCCACTTACCCGGAATGGGCAGAGGGGCACGCTAGATTTAATCCAGGCATCACTGTCAGGGTAGGTAACATCACCGGAGAGGGAGCCGCGCGGAAGAACCTTGCGCTCAAACGACACAAAACCGGCAGGCGTAGATGCAGTCACCCTCTCGAAATAGTGAGCAATGCACCTCACTTTGTGCTCCTGGCTCTGCCTCGCATTGTTAGTCAATGCCCTGCCAAACCATAGAAGCATAGGAGATCAGTAAGAACAGCTAGTCAATTTGACACTACAAGGTTTAATTAAACCCTACGATGCCCAAATGAACCGAAATTGATGGCATACGAGAACAAGGCGTCGAAATTGATGGCCGGGAGGCGGGCCTCGCCGCGGCCGGCGGTGGGGAACAGGCAGAAGAGCGCGCAGGCGAGCAGCGCGGCGGCGAGCTCCTGGCCGAGGAGCACGAGGCCCGCGTCCTGAGACGCCAGGAGACGGAGCCCGGTCGCGGCCCGGGCGCCGGCGTAGTGGTCCTCGAGCAGCGCGGGGAGGCGGAGGAGGAGGCGCGCGAGGCGCGGGAGCACGTCGGAGAACCAGTCCCGCGCGTGGGCCCGCGAGAGGAGGTCGTCGAAGAAGAGCGCGTAGCCCTCGGCGGCCCGCGCGGGGAGGGCCCGGAGGGCCAGGGCCTGGCGGAGGTCGCTGAGCGCGTCGGCGAGGACGTCGCCGGATGTGACCCGGCTCACGTCGGGGCCGAGGGACAGCGCCCTCAGCTGCTCCTGCGCCGCCGCCGGCCAGAAGAGCGCCCTGCCGCGCAGCACCACCGGCAGCAGCGGCAGGATCGACCGCAGGTCGCCGCGCGCCTCCATCTCCATTGCTGCTCTCTCTCTCTCTCCTTCTCTCTCTACAGCTTTCCCTTCTCTCTCTAGCTTCGCTTGCGTCGCCGTTGGGCCTCAATGTGTATTCTTTTGTTGGGCCGAACACGGGCTCGTACCGGCCCACGAGAGCATTGCGGCCCAATTGCCACACTGGGCTGAAGCTTATCCATTTCCAGCTTGTTGGTTCCTCTGCGGCTCAAGCTCTCTGCTGCCATGGGAGTGGACACGGCCGAGCAATGGCCGCGCCGCACGCCACGCTGCCCCCGGCGACAGCAAGCCCGCCGCCGCGCCGCGGCCTCCGGCGCGAGACGGCGGAGGTGGTGCGCGACTGCAAGAGGCTGGACGGGCTCATGAAGGCCGGCAGGCTGGCGGACGCCCTGGACCTGTTCGACCGGATGCCGCGCAAGAACGTCGTGGCCTGGACCTCGGCCGTGTCCGGGCTGGCACGCAACGGGCGCCCCGAGGCCGCGATCGAGATGTTCGCGGACATGGCGGAGTCCGGCGTCGCGC